GGCAGTAATCAGGGGATAGGGTGAAATAAAGCAGCTGATGCTGCTTGTTGGGGTTCAGATTCCAGGTAGAGAGAAGATACCTGTTCTTAGGAACCCCACAAGCAGGGGAGATGGGAAGGGGTAAGGTGGAGGCAGATTAGTTGCCATTTTTATTCCAAGCTCTACTGAAATGAAATTACTTGGAGCTGACTATAAGTGCCTTGTAACCACCTCCATGAATGTTTTTACTGGCTCCCAGGAGAAACAGAAATGAAAAACTCTCTGGGACTGGACAGCTTGGGTCTTAGGGGTATTAGTGTGAACATAAGCCTCGAGTGTGCTTTGTTGCCTATAAGTATGATCTTGTAGTAGCTCACTGTGGAAGAAATTGTTCTGTCATTGTAGTATCACAAGGAGAAGAATAATACTTTTGTCCAAAGCAACATGCCATGAAATAGGAGGTGAGGGGGAGATAAGCTAAGTGTCTGAAAATGTAATGCATGTGTATGTTTTGGAACTTGCTACAGGATTGCCTCTGTTCTTGCTGCTGGGTAACACTTGTCAGCTGATTTGCATCTCAGTGTTTTCCTATGAGGGGGAACACAGATGACTTAAGGGAATCAAAAACAAACAAAAAACCTTTGCATTTGTCACTGTGCTTTGAGATTAAATGGAAAAGCATTAAAGTTGCAAAAGACACGTAAGCTTTTAAGACTTGAGAATCTTCTTTGTTACTTTAGATCTTAAATGCATATATTGAACATCTTGTTAAAATCAGTCCCATGTGCTGTTTGGATCATTCCTATGTAGCGCTCTCCACCTTCTGAATTTGGAGTGAGACGCTTTTAATTTAGCATCTTTGGTATAATTGTGATAGGTCCCAAAGTTGCCTTTCCATATGCCTGTCAGTTTATTCGCTTTATCACTGCTAGTTTGTGCTTTTTCCTCAGTACAGGCTCTTACCATTGCTAACATATCAGATACCTTGGGTGGAGCAAGAGCAGCACTGATTCTAGAAATGAATGCAGTGGAAACACCTGAGGTGCAGCAACGACTCCCACTTGTACTAACTTGTTACAAGTTGTTGAATGTGCTTTTTTTCTCTATCAAGTTAATGTTCTCTGAACTAAAATCCTTGTCATGAGCCACTGTTAAAATTATTACCACTGCATGTCAGTTGAACTTTGTGCTCTTTGTATGTGGAAGCAGAGTATCTACTCTAAACTCTGGTGGTTTTTATTATGCCTATCTCTCGTGAAGGCTACACCTTAATGGAAGGTAATATTCCATAGTTCCAAGATAAATATCAACTTTTTTTTTTTCTAGTTGTTGAATGTGCTTTTTTTCTCTATCTAAAGTTAATGTTCTCTGAACTAAAATCATACTTTGAACTGCAAGGACATACTTTGAACTGCACAGCGTGGAAGCTGTTTTCCTAATTACTGCATGCTGCTACGGTAGCTTTGCCAGGACAGTATCACAGGGACCACAGAATAGTTGAGGCTGGAAAGGACATCTAGAGATCATCTAGTCCAGCCCTCTTGCTCAGAGCAGGGTCAACTACAGCAGATTGCTCAGGACAGTGTCCAGTCAGGGTTTGAATATGCCAAGGATGGAGACATGGTAACCTTTCTGGGCAACCTGCTCCAGTGTTTGACCACCCAGTAAGAGGTAAAAAGTAAGAGGTTTTTTCTTATGTTAAGCAGAATTTCCTATATTTCAGTTTGTGCCCATTGCCTCTTGTCTTTTCACTGAGTACCACTGAGAAGAGTGTGGCTTCATCTTCTCTAATCCCATCTGTCAAGTGTATATATACATTCAGGTTCCCCTGAGTCTTCTCTTCTCCAGGCTAAACAATCCCAGAATAGGCAGAAATGCTCCAGTCCCCTCATCGTCTTTGTAGCCCTTTGCTGGACTCCCTCCAGTAGTGCCATGGCTCTCTTGGACTGGGGAGCCCAGGACACTACTCCAGGTGAGGCCTCCCCAGGGCTGAGGAGAGGGGCAGGATCACCTCCCTCGACCTGCTGGCAACACTCTGCCTAATGCACCCCAGGAGACCATTGGCCGCCTTGGCCCCAAGGGCACACTGCTGGCTCATGCTCAACTTGTTGTCCACCAGGACTCCCAGGTCCTTCTCTGCAGAGCTGCTTCCCAGCAGGTCAATGCCCAGCCTGTCCTGGTGCCCGGGGATATTCCTGCCCAGGTGCAGGACCTTGCCCTTGCCTTTGTTGAACTTCCTGAGGTTCCTCTCTGCCCAGCTCTCCAGCCCGTCCAGGTCCCACACAGCCTTCTGGCTAGTGTGTTTTCCCTCCCTCACTCCCTCCCAAATATCAGTTTTGTTCTTTTTGATTAATCTTAGAGCAAGGGTCAATGTTTCATGCTTTAAAGGAGCTTAAGGAGGTTTTGGGGCAGGGGGGAAGTGTTAGGGTTTTTCAAACAAATCGGCAAGAACGGATGTGAGGAAGGTAGATGTTGGAGTAGAATGGGCAGGCAGGTGCTTTTTTGCATTTTGAGTTTGTTTTGTGATTATCAGATATTAAAATAGTTTCTGAATGTAATTTTTAAGCAAATGTAACTAAAACCTTACACTACAAACTTTGTGCAGTATGCCAAAGTGAGAATTAGCTTGTAGTCGTGCTTTTCTAAGAAGCATGCAAGAAGAAGAATTTCCCATAGCCAATAGTTGCATAGTTACATTCAATTATACTCAATGAAGCACAATATAAAACGTCATGGTTTCCATCTCTTAAGTTTATTGCTTATGACCAGGTCTAACAGGCAAGCAAGATAACACACAGAAAGGAACATCAAAGTTAGTAATATTTTTCCGTATGTCATAAATGTACATATACAGACATCCACTGATATTTTTCAGGACTTTCACGTAACTTACTGTGTTATAAAAGTTGACATGAGGATGTATATAGTTTAAATTCTTTCAAGATTAATTAGTGGAAGTTGGAGAATTGTGAATGTTAGCCAGAAAGTGGGACAAACCTGATGAACAGAAAAGCTTAATCTTTACCACTTACAAGAAACTGTGTGTGGGAGATGGTAGCAAGCACTGTAAAACAGTTTTTATCCTTTATTCTAAACTGCACATATTGAAGAGCTCTGTGTTCAATAACAGAGAATACATGGTTCCCATTACTAGTGCCTAATGAAATACTATCTTATAGTAAAACATGGTTTTTGTTTCTAATGGTGCTTTTATTGTCAAGCCTGAGTGAGCTTTATACTGTTAATTGTAAAGGTACCCTTTAAATCTAAATCCTGCTCCATTTAGGGAGTGTAATTGTAGATATTGAAATGAATTCCTTTTGCTTTATATTTTACGCTTAAGATAGTGTGTGGTGGAATTCTTGTGGGATGTGTTCATTTTGAAAGGTTTCTTTTCTTACGTGGGAATGAGTGGGATTTATAGATCTCTTAAGCAAGGTGAGCTAGATATATATTACTCACAGTAATTTTTATATTCCTCAACTTGAAGTGACCTAGTGAGTCTGAAAGTAGCATAAAACTTGGAGTTGACGTCTTAATATTTGATCTGCTGTGATGATGACCTGTTAACCTTTAGCTCTAATGGCTCTATCGAGTTATCCTTAAACGTTGCAAATGTTCTCTGCAGTGGGGCTGCAGTAAAGGTTTTCTATCTAATGCTAAAATACACTTTGTATAATCACGTCTCCAGAATGTGTGTTGTTTCTGATAGATATTGATCTCCTGTATTGTTATCTTGATTTTGAGATAGGTTTTGGGTTCTGATGTAATGTAGGTTTTGTGCAGATAATACCCTCAGCATCTTAATTAGGAACTATAAAACATACAGTTCTTTAGAGATACAAAAGCTTATTTCATGGTGTAGTTGCCATAAGCATGAGTTTTGGATTGTTCTGAAGTTACTTTATTAACCCTTATGACCTCATAACATTAGAGGTAGAGAAGAGTTGAAAGCTGAACCTAAGAAATGTGACTTAAAAATATTAAGACTGTTCATGGTAACTACTTCACTCAAGAGGCAAAGATTCCTAGAACAGATTAATAAAATTATTTATTGTAATCAGATTGCTAAGCAACCGTGGTACTTCAGGGGCTAAAGTGATGGTTCTGTCATCTCCAGCAGCCCTTGAGAAAGAAATAAGCTGTGCCACTTGCCTATGAACAACGAAGTAGATCTATATTTAGAATTCTGAAAAATGTTTTACATGTTAACAGAAATCAACTTTAGAAATATAAAATTGTTGAGGGTTCTAGTGAGCTAGGATGCAATAGTTGATTTGAGCCTTTGGTGCATATTTGAAGCTTGTTGAAAGGAGAGGCTTTCAGAAGAGGATAGTAATATAACAGCAGGAGAAGTGGAGAAGGTGCCAGGGATAGATTAGATGTCTGAGAGGTTTGGAGGGCTTAAATGGGATGGGGATCACACAAAGATGAGGAATTACCTGTGGCCTCTAAGTGTTGTTTTTCTGGTTGTGTTGGTATATGGGCCTGCAAATATGTCCTGCCTGGGAAGGGATCTGTACTCCTTTTCAATCTCAAAATAATAGTTTAGTGAAAAAAGGACACCTTTCTCTTTCATATAAAATTATTTCTCTTTGGAAACGAGCTAACCAAATGAAAGCGGCCGAATACAGAGAGATATGGTGGGGTGTCTGATGTTCTTTCACGCTTCTTAAAACATGCTTTATTCAGTGAGAAATGATGATGCAGCATTAGCAGAGTCATAAAGCATCTTCTAAAAACCTGAAATAATACTTCAAAAAACATAATTCATTGGCTGAAGTTTACTGTCAGGTTTTTAAGGGGCTGATTTACTGGAGCAGCAGAGGGTTCCCAAGGACATCCTGCTGAGGGGGTTACTGGGAAAAGTCAGCAAGGGAGGCCGGTGTTTTGAGTGGATCCATTTTTCTAAGAGCTCTTTAAAGCTTTACCTTTTCAGAAGGGGAGTCTGTCTTTTTAAATTTTACTTATGCGTTTGAATAACTTCACCTTTAAATACTTTTTTTTTCCTTTCTCATCAGATTTCCTTTATATCCAAAAGGAGGAGAGAAGCTTCAGTTTGAATACGGAGTATATCTTCTCAACAAGAATATAGCACAGGTTGGTACATTTTGAGTGTGTGTGTGTTGTGGTGTATGTATTTTTTTTTTTTATTTTATGGTTTTTTTTGTATAGCAGTATCTACCATCTGCTTCATGTCAGTGTGGCATGAGCATGCACATCTTTGGATATTCTGTTTGAGCTACAGTCTTGTGATGCTGTTCTCTGTGGAGAACATCTGTGAACTCTTGGAGGTATTCTTCAGATCACTGGCTTCACTTACCTTATGGCTTTGCACTTGAGGTTATCTCCTGTGGTGCTTAGAGAAGGGCTTGCCAGTTGACAGTGGATCTTTTCCTTTTCCCGTTGTAAATGCTATGAGTGTATGTTGCACTGTTTTGAAAATTGTAAATGTTTTCTGATATTTTTGTTGTTCTGTTGTACTCACAGATCCATTCATGTCATTCTCCTTGCTCTGTCTTTAATTTTGCTATATTACTATTCTGACTAGCTTTCTGTTCCCGTACTTAAATTATAAGATTTTCTAGCTTGTTCCGTTTTCTTAGGTCTTGCAGGTGTGTGACTTGGGGGGGAATAAAAAAATCTTCTAATCATCCTGACTTCCTTGCTCTGATGTGTTTTTTAAAACATCCTTTACTCTGGCAATTACATGAGGAATCTTTTTTTTTTTTTTAGCTTTTACTAGGTAAAGCTTTTACTTGAGATAGTACTTTTATGCACTGAAAGATATCTCTCTTTTTAAATGTTATCTCATGGGCCATGTTTCTTAATTTCTGAGCGTTCTTGTTGCTTGCCTGTTCTCAATCTGGTGCACATCTTTCTTGAAGTGCAGTGCTCAAAACTGGAGACAGTGTTCATCTGGGTTACCTTCAAGGTGGTGAGTGAGATGAGAGGAGTGCTTCACAGGTCCTGCCACTCTTCCTCAGCTCATATGTCCCAGTAGGTTTGTACAGCCTTACACTGCTAATTTCATGTGATTCACTGCACCTTGCAGTCCCCAAGGCTCCTCTGTGCAGCAACAAAATAGCCCATTCTGTATTCGTGCACTCCTTTGAAGGTACAGCATGTAAAACATGAATTAAAGTATAGTAAAAGTTGTACTCTTTATGTTTTTAATCATGTCTCTGATTTTGTGAAATGATTTCAGACTCCTGGGGAAGGTAGGGTGAGAACTCAGCCTCAGCTTCATACTGTCTGTGTGTAAGCCGCTTTGCTGTTAATCCAGATCATCTGAAGAAAATGCTGGATACTTGGATAAATCATAGACCCAGGTGGAGCCCCACTTAATCAACACTTCTGTTTTGGCAGAGGACCATTGATTAAAACACCTAGAGAGTACTTGGGAGCTTTGCACTCGTTCTGTGGAATACTTCATCAAGGTCCCATTTCCCCAGCCTGCTTGTGAGCATTTCATGCCATAACGTGTCAAAAAGTTTCTTTGAATTCATCTCAGTTTCTAACCTGTTTGTGAGGCTTGGAATTAGATTGATTTGACAGTTTTATTTTTGACCTGTGTTTGGGATGTGTGTAGTTGGTTTGTGGTGGTGGTGTGTTTCTTCAGTATGCTTAATTTCTAGTTTTTCAGTTTGATCCTTTTTTCCTAGTTCTCTCTTCCTGCACTCTGTCCCTCTGCCCCTCACTCCTATCTCCTATGCCACAACTGAAGTAAAGCTTCTGGATCTTTTCATTTTGTATCTATTTATTTATTTATATTAAGATTGGATTGCATTTACCTTTTCCCAGACTGCTGGTATCTTGCCTGTGCTCAGTGTGTTTTGGAAGATAACCTCTAATGGTTCTGAAATTATTTAAAGGCTGAAGTATCATAGGATTAAGTTAATCAAGTCCTGCCAGTCTTCAAAATTCACTTCACTAAGCTGTTAGTATAACCTAGACTGTGACTCTTTGTTGCTGGTATTGATAATGGTAGCCAGCTGTTCACACTTTCTTAGGGAAGACTTGTGCAAAAAAGGGATTAAACACTTTCCTTCAAATGATTTGATAGCTTTCTCTCTCTAACATCAAATGAATGCTTTCCTTAATCTCTACGTCTGTAAACGTATTAGTCTGTTCTATAACTTGCTCGTCATGATGCTGCTTGCTTTGCTTTTCAGCCTTTCGTATTTTTGTTCCTATGTAATTCTGCGGTTCGTCCTTCAGTAATACGATGCAAGTGTTCCGTGCTTCTTTCTTGATCGAAATTACTAACTCTTCATTGAGCCCAGGTTGGCTGGGCTTTTCTGTTTCTTGTAGTCTGGGTTAGTTGGCACTTGTACCTGTGTGGTATCTCTTTTATAGGAGCTATCACTTGTTTCTTTTTTTTTCCTTTGACTTGTCTAAGATGTTACTGCAGTTAGATCTACTGAAGACTGCTGTTCTGATTTTTTTTTTTTATTCTTGTCCTGTTTCCAAAACACTATGAACTGTTCAAGTAATGGTTATTCACCCATGTTCCCTTCCAAGTCCTTGCAGTTGGTTCCTGAAATCACTGGCATATGCTTAAACTCGCAAAAGTAAACGAAGACTTAATTTAACTATGTATTTGTATAAAAAAGGGTTTCCAAATTTACATGGGGTCACTGGTGCTAGCTAGAGTAATCAGTGGCCAAACTTTGTTTGAAGTGGTTTGTACAACACCAGTGGTTCATGTGTTACTGCTTGAGAATGTATGCCATTGAATATAAAAACATAATAAAAGTAAGTCAGAATTTTGGGGGCCTCTACTCCTTAATCAGGGAAGTGTTAGTGAAGTCCATATAAATTGTTGTAGTCACCTTTACGTTGATGTTCTTGGTTGAACAGCGTTTTTATAGGTCTGCCATGAGGAAATTCCACTGTGAAAGCATTGCGAAAAATCTAGCAGAGTAGGTAGATAACATGCAGAAGTATGTAGCAATGCTAGCAGTTCTGTATCCAGGGGCTGACCAGATACAAACCTGAGACTGTTTCAATCCTTTACGTATTCCTTTGGAGGCTGGAGTCCGGAACTGTTGAATTTAAGTAGCTTTTAGCAGGTCTTAAGGCTGCTCTGAGGAAAAACTTCCAGGTATGCTTAGTTCATGTGGGTGCAGAAAAACGTGCAAAAACAACGTGTAATCAAAAAGATTAAGTTTGAATGGAGAGTGAGCAGCTGTTGCCTCCTTGTCTGTAGAACCTCACAACCTCTGAGGCAATCCTTTTCAGACCCCAAGGTGTTGGCCTTGCTTCATGCAACCAGTCCTGCAAACTAAGTGGTTATTCGGTCAGGAGTTAGTGCGGATCGGTTGCTTAATTTGCTCTGGCTGTGGTGTGAAGATTGGAGAGTATCTAGAAGGAAGCCTATGATGAGGAGGACACTACATCTACTAAAGTCGTAGAGGAGGGATTCAAGTCTCTGTTGCCTTACTTGAATCATTTTTCTCCATTTCCCCTCACCCCCTCCGCTCCCATTAGCCTCCTGGACTTTTGGGAGCAAGGAGAGAAGCATGAGAGTGTGAGTGGGGAAGAAATGAGACCAGGCTGATATTAAGTAAAATTACTGAAATCAAAACTCTTGTAGAGATAAAGTGGTATTTTTTGGTAAAACAGCAGGACAAAAACAATGAAAACCACATCTTACACTCAGGAGAATTCAGCTGGAATTAGAAGCAGTTCAGTGCTAGCTCGGTAGAGCATTTATTTGGAGAAACTTGCTTTGCTGTTACATTCCAAAGTCAAAACAATGTGTGTTAATTCTGAGAGTTCGTAATAGCTTCCATCTGTATGTGAGCACAAATTGTTTCAGGCCCCATATTTTCTATTTGTAAAATCAAAGTCTTTACTAAGTTCAGAGTAGCTTTCTGATAGATAATATTAGGTTTGACCATAAACTTCCAGTTGAAGTTTTAACTCTTTGGTTGTAATGAACACACGAGTGCGATATTTTTAAAGGGAAATTAATTACTATTGTTATTATTAGACATAAGTAACAACAACAAAATCACTGTCATTCCAGAGCATTATAAATGATGAAGTAGAATACAATTGCTAAAAGTGGAAGTTAAGTGGCTCAGTTCTCCTAAATATCAGGTGTTGGAAGATCATTCAGCAGGCAGCTGACCCCGCAGGCTCTCTAGCTGCTAAGTTATTGCTGCGTGCAGAGTATCTGAGGAAGCTGAGGCTTTAGCACAGAATGATATGAACTCTTACATTGGTGCTCATAGTAGAGGAGTTTAGATTCCCTGTGAAAATCTCCCTTTATAGCAGAGAGATTTGAGGAACCCACTGAATTGTCACGGGGTTTTTCTCTGGGTCATAGGCAAATGTATTTGCAGCATGTAGGAGAATTTTGTAGCATTTGTAGGAGAATGTTCATGCCTCTCTGAATGTAATGTATGCAATGCACAGCTCAAATGAACCATGGATGTGGACTTGATAAGTGTTTTTTTTTTTTGTGATTATCTTGTCTGTCTTGCAGGTGATTTATTCTCTCAGTTGTTGGTTATGCAGGATGTCTGTGCTGCCTTGGAGAGGAACATATCCAAGGAAAGCGCAGTGTCTTTGAGTTTCAAATCCCAGGCCTTTAAAAAGAAAGGAGAAGCTCTATTAGTGTTTATCGGCAACTTTGATATCTCTTTTTCTTGGATTCTTAGAGCCTTGATTGCTTGGCCCTGACTTCAGTGTAGATCCATCATTAGGTATATGAAGAGATGGTTTTAACTATGATTTTACTGGCTGCTCCTCCCAAGACAAATCCTTAATGAGCAATATGTATAACCATTGAAGAGCACCTGAGTCTACCATCTAGTTCATGAAACTACAACTTCCTTTAGATGTTCAAGAGGACTTTTCTTGCACTACACATACGAGTCACTCTATCCCCATTCCAGTTACAAGATTGCTTGGAGAGGAAATAATTGCCTCATAGCTGTAGAGCTAGTTTCTTGTAGTCCCATTCAGAAGGGAATTTACTTACGTTGTGTGGGGTTTGTTGCTTTGTTCCTTTCCTCCAAAGGACAGTCGTCTTACTTGCAACTCTGATCACTGAATGATGGTTCAGTGTTTTCATTAGCCGTTAAAGG